TTTTATAGATTATTAAATAAATTATATTTAAAAATAAAGTAAGTTTAATAAAAATTTAACTAAAGTATTAAATATTTGAAATTATTTTATTATCACTGTTTTCAAAATGATTAGAATAGCAATATTTTTAAAAAAAAATTTGTTTTTTGCTAATATCTGAACACTTGAATACCCAATTAGTTTATATCAAAGATTGATTTTAACTATCTTTATTTAATGATAAATTAAGCAAGTAATTATTCAATATAATAATTACTATTTGTAGTTAGAAATTGATCAATATGATTAATGCTCTAAACTAATTGGATATTCAAGTGTTTGGGTATTTACTAGAAAAATTTTTTTTTATTCTCAACCATTTTGAAAACAGCGATAAATTTAAAATTTAAAAAAAGACAAAATTTTATAATTAAAAGTAAAAATTATTATAAATTACATTATATTTTTTTTTAAGATATATTATATATTTATTTATAAATTAAACAAATAATTAACAATATTATTTTAATTTATTTTTTATGAAATAGAAATGTCAAAAGAAAGACAACCTACCCCTGAACATATTAAAGAAAAATATAAAACACTACCTCCTGAAGTTATTAAAAGTAAAGAGGATAAAGAAAAAAGACAACGAAATAAAAGAGCTGCTAAAAAAAGATATTATGATAAACTAAAAAAACAGGCTGAAGAACAAGGACCTTCAACTAGAACAAGATCTAAAATTTTTCCAATATCATCAAGAACAAGATCACAAACAGTAGAAAGTGCTAGATTAAGACAAAAAAGACATAGAGCTTCTATAGATACAGATAAAAAAGAAAAAATAAAAAAAAGTTAGAGAAAATAAAAAAAAAAGTTATAAAAAAAAAAAGAAGAATTAAAACAATTTTTTAAAATAGGACTTTGTAGTTTAGATGAATATGAAAAGAAGATAAAGAAAAAAAAAACAATAGTGATAGTAATAGTAATGATAATAGCAATGATAATGATAATAATAATAAGGATAATAGAGATAATAATGGAGATAAAGATGATAATAAAAATGATAATAGTAATAAGGATAATAATAAAGAAGATAATGGAAATGATGATAAAGATAATGATAGAGATGATGATGGAGATAATGATAATGGAGATGATGATGATAGTGATAATAGTGATGATGATGAT